TATCATCAAGCATAGTTTGCACCAGTACAAATGGAGGCATTAAAGTTTAGAAAAATAGCCAGGAGGAGACGGAGGCTTTAAGCAAAATACACCTGTAGCTTCTTTTTTTGTTTAATATTTAACAGATTTATAACAGCACCAAAAACAAAAGGTAAAAATAAGAACAAAAAGAAGAAGCAGATAAATAGTAAACTAAAAGAAGCATGGATTGTCTTAGTGCCATTGTTTCAGGGATTGCTGGGAATATTGTTGAGTACACAATTGAACCAGTTGGGCGCCAAATGAGTTATCTAGTTCACCACAAAAGCAACCTTCAAAATCTAGAGAGTCAGGTGGACAACTTAGGTGCTGCCAGAGAAAGGGTTCAACATACAGTTATTGAAGTTAAAAGAAAAGGTAAAACTGTGGATATTGATGTTGAGAAATGGTTGACAAGAGTAGATCAAATTACTGGAGAGGCAAACAAATTCTTGAAAGATCAAAGCCAAGCAAAGACACAGTGTCTCCATGGGTTGTGTCCTACTCTGATCCGCCGTTATCAGCTAAGCAAGAAATCGAGAAAATTGGTGCATGTCGTTCTTCAACTCCATGCAAATACAGAATTTCCCAGATTTTCATACAATGCACCCCACAAGAGATGTGGAGCATACCCACAGAAGAGAATCAAGGACTTCAACTGTGAAGAAAATCGTGGAGGAACTAAGAAATCCTAATACCAACATGATTGGGGTGTATGGGATTGGGGGTGTGTGGGGAAGACGACACTCGTCAAAGAAGTTTTTAGGCAAGCCACAAAAGAGGAGTTATTTCATGATGTGGTTATAGTACTAGATGTGAAGCAGAATCCAGACCTGGAAAGAATTCAAAAAGAAATTTCTGAGAAGTTAGCCCTTAATGTTCTTGAAAATCATACTGTAGCGGGAAGAGCGCGGATTCTATGTGATAGGTTAAAAGATACAGAGATTCTTGTAATCTTAGATGATGTTTGGGACAGAATTGATTTGCAGGCTTTGGGACTTCCCCGTGTTGTATGCAAAACAATGTTGACATCTAGAAGTCGAGAGATAATATCCTCTGAGATGCGTACGCAAAAAGAGTTTGGGCTTCATGTTTTAGGTGAATAAGAAACTTGGAGTTTATTTGAGAAGATGGCATGGGATGTTGTTAAAGATCCCACTATACGTGCAGTAGCGACCCAAATAGCCCAAAAATGTGGAGGTTTGCTAGTTTTAGTTGTCACAGTTGCAAGCGCTTTGAGAAACAGAAGTACTTTACATGCATGGAAATATGCTTTGAGATGCCTGAAAAGGTTTGACAAAGAAAGATTGACAGAGAAAGTACACTCAGCTCTAGAGTGGAGTTACTATCAATTGCATGATGAGGAGCTTAACCACTCTTCTTGCTCTGTGGAATTACTAGGAGAAACTATATTTTTCTTGGAGACTTGTTGAAATATACCATGGGTTTGGGTTTGTTTAAAAACGTCAATACATTGGAAGAAGCACGAAATGCATTGCATTCACTTGTTGAAAAACTTAAAGATTCTTGTATGTTGCTAGATGGTTTTGACAATACATGTGTTAGAATGCATGACCTTGTACGTGATGTTATTGCGATCTCAATTGCCTTTAGAGATCAACGCATCTTATCAATAGCATATGGAGATGAGTTGAAAGAACGGCCAAATATCGATTTCATTAAAAATTACTCTCTGATCTCTTTCCCTTCTTGCAATATCCCTACGCTTCCTGAAGCTCTCGAATGCGGAGAACTAAAAATGTTCTTCTTGTGGAGTAATGATGACTCACTGGAGATCCTCTACAAATTTTTTGAACAGATGAAACATCTTAAAGTGTTGGATTTAAACAATTTGTGTATTCCATCACTACCTCCATCTCTTCAATTCCTGACAAATCTTCAAACATTGTGTTTAGACCTATGCATGTTGGGAGACATAGCTCTACTTGTACAATTAAGAAACTTAGAAATTCTTAGCCTTTTGGAATCTCAGGTTAAACAGCAGCCTGAAGGAATAGGGCAGTTGAGTCGTTTGCGATTGCTAGATTTGAGCAGTTTCTCTGAAATTGAAGTGATTTCACCTAATGTTATCTCAAGCTTGAAAGACTAGAGGACTTGAGAATGGGAAACAGCTTTAACCAATGGGAGGATGAAGGAGTCAATCTCCAAAGAAGTAATGCTAGCCTTTCAGAGCTGAAGCACTTGTCTAAGCTAACCTCATTAACTTGCATATTCCAGATGGCAACATTCTTCCAGAAAACCCGTTCTCTGATAAGCTAGAAAGATACCACATATTGATTGGCAATGCGTGGAAATGGTATGGTTTGGATTAAACCTTCAACACTCTAAAACTCAAGCTCACCACCCGCAATCAATTGGACCAAGGTTTAAAAATGCTGCTGAAGAGATCTGAAGATTTGTACTCGGATGTGTTGGAGGGTGTTAATAATATTGTCTATCAATTGGACAATGAGGGTTTATTCCAACAACTTACACATCTCCATGTCCAAAACAATGCTGAAATTACATATATCATTAACTCAATCCACTGGAGTTACACTCATAATTCCTTCCCCATCTTGGAGTCCCTATTTCTTGGCAACCTTGTTAGTCTAGAGAGTGTTTGTTATGGCCAACTCACAGCTAAGTCTTTCTGAAAATTAAGAATCATAAAAGTGGAAAGCTGTCACAGATTGAGGATTCTCTTTTCATTTTCCGTCGCTAGATGCTTTTTTCAACTTGAAGAGATGGAAGTGGAGAATTGCAAGACCATGAAAGAGATTGTTGCTGAAGAAAAAGAAGATAATTTCAACGATGAAGCAGTTGATCCTTTTCAATTCTGTCACTTATGATCTTTGACATTTCGGTACCTGCCAAAGCTAGCTGGTTTCTCCTCCAAAGGTGGCAGATCTGTTGTAACTGCAACCATGGATAAGCAATTAACAAATGATGCAGAGCCTAGAGAGTCCAACAATTTGGAGAATGAGATTGGTACTCCCCTGCAACTCTTCATGAATGAGTAGGTACATTCCTTGTTTTGCATTTCCTTTTGTTTTTCTAAGTGTATGTTTCTTCTTCTTTCATTTTTTTTTTACCGGAAAGAAAAAAGGTTGAAGAAGGATTCATGAATGTGATGGTTTAAGATTCATGTTTTCCTCTTCCATGGCTACAAGTCTTGTACAACTCAAATATCTACAGATATCCGGGTATCATCTCATGGAAGAGATAGTATCAACACCTGAATTTGGTGAAGAAAATGCAAATAACATTTTTCATAAGCTACTGCATCTAAAAGATCTTCCAAACCTCGCCAGATTTAGCGCAGGAAGTTATATTGAATTTCCATCCTTGGAGAGATTGCAATTACGACACAGTCCTAAACTGGGGGCATTCATCTTTAATACTATAAGCAAGAATGTTACAATCACCAAAGAAATTGATGTGAAGGACTCCAGGGAGAACCTTCAAACTGATGTACCATGCTTTTTTAGGAAAGGTAAATTACACACCTCTGTTTCTCTTTATGCAGTCGTTTAATTTATTTCCAATATGTTCACTTCAATTTAAATGATTTCTTAACAAGCCTTATGATGAATATACATATATGCAGGTAGGATTTCCTAACTAGGAGACATTGCTCATGCTTGGCCTAGCAAAGTTTATGATTGCAATTTGGCAAACTCAATTTACTTGCTCCAGACTCTTTTTGCAAACTCAGAGTAGTTCAACTTGCATGTCCAGTAAACATCTTTGGACCAAGTATTTGTTGACATTTGTATATAATTAATTGTAATTAGCTGAATAGCTGTTCGATTAGTTCTCCTACATACGAGTTTGACTTTTAGCCTTAATCTCCTTCCTTTGTATCAAGCTGTGAACTATCTAAATCTCTTCTAAGAGTGATGAATGACATATCATCATCAGCACAGTGGTATTCTTTGTCTCGCTGGATGTTACGTCCCATGAGGATCATCATTGTTTTTCTAATCATCTTTCTGAGACTTCTCGTCAGGAGGAAAACTTGAGTAGCGAAGATAAGTTTTACATTGATCCGATTTGGAGAATAAAAATAGAACAAATGGAAACAAAACGAAAGCGGCAGTTCTTTGACTCTCCCTCCTGTAGGTCATCGTATGAGTTGGTATATCAAAAAAGTGATAAGGCACCTCTCAAGCAACATGATTAGTCTGTTGCCCCAACGACAAGTAATCCTGAGGTAGAGTTTTGTTGAATCTGATTCTCCTGTTGTTCCTTCCTGATGATCCAATTGATTGTTGCATTCATGATGACTTAGGAATTCCTATTTCCATGAGAAAAGAGCCCGAGGAATTGAGAGCTCTCAGAAAGAAGTCTATTTGGGAGCTAGTGTAGTTACCAGAAGGAAAGAAAACGGTTGCTTGCAACTTGCAAGTGAGATGTAATTAGAACTCTAACGCTTAAATCATTGTTGAATTGGTAACCCCAAGCTCGAAGTCATTAGTATAGGAGATGGCCCAATATTTAACAGGACCTCTATGCAAGTCCAGTCAATGTGGGGCAAAGGAAATCTAAAAATACAATTTTCTTTTATGTTTAGTCCTTAGAAAGGGCTTTTTGGGGTGTGGACTTTGGGTTATAAAGATTTAAACACAGTTTTCTTCTTGTCAAGATACGTGGGGCAAAGGAAATTGAAGCGGATCCACTGTGGGGTCAATGGGGTCACTCGACCTTGTGGAAGCCAGATAAATGGATGGAAGATCCCTCCGACAACCCCTTGGAAGCTTGTTAAGTGACCTTGATCTACCCACCAAGTGTAGATGAAATGTCCCAAGGAAGCTGTGCAGCGGCCCCTTCTCGCTCTGCTTTATGTTTTTTTTTCAATACACAGGCAAAACGATGTCGTTTTGGCCCAAGTATACTGAAGGTTTTTCAAATTGACCTGGCCCCAAAAAAAAAAAAAAAAAACATATAAACAATTTGTTCAGCCTTTCCCTACCAAGCCCAGCCCAACATTCTCCCCACAAAACCCCCAAACTCTCTTTATTCTCTCAACCTAAACTCCTCAAACCCTAACCACAACCTCCCCAGTCCCCACCTGCTTCCGCATTCAGGTGGTGCTGCCGCCATCCACCACCTTCTGTGCCGCCACTTTTCGGAACTTTTACAGCACGACCCCTTGAGGCACCTAATGGGTAACCCTGACTTTCCATCCGACATCATACCTGAGATTCTTTCAAGGCTACCAGTGAAGTCACTATGCCGCTTCAGGTGTGTATCAAAGTCATGGCTTTCCTTAATCGCCGACCCTGATTTTGTCAAGAGGCACCTTAACAAAGCTACTGAGAGCGAGGATATTTTCAACCAGAGACGAAGGCTTATATTTACTGATGAGTCACACAGGTCACTTTTCTCTTTGGACCTCGATGAATTTCTCAATCATAATGATGCAATTGATAATTATCTTGATAAAGATTATGATAACCTTATCATTAACATTGACGATAACGATGATGTCGTGGCCACTGAGCTCGACTATGTTTTTAGTGAACTGCCAAATAATTGGGCTTTCTTGGTGTTTCACTCCAATGGCTTGTTGTTGTGCCAGTTATATTACTGGGATTTATATCTGGTTAACCCTGCAACAAGAGAATCCAAGAAACTACCACAGATGCCAGATGTTGGAGAAGCGTATTATTTCGACCTCTTTGGTTTTGGATTTGATCACTCCTCTGGTGATTACAAGGTCGTTATGTTGTCATATTTGGAAGGAGGAATTATGTTCAGTGTCTACACATTGAAAACTGGCTCTTGGCGAATGATTCAAACGGGATATCCCTACAAATGTGACCTCATGCAGCATGGGATCCTTCTGAATGGAGGCCTTCATTGGTTGTTGGATAGAGTTGGAGTTGAACATCGATCGCCGGTGATTATATCTTTCAATTTAGCAGAGGAGAATGTCCAAGAAATTCCACTACCTCTTGCTTCTATTGATGCTAAAGATTATATTGTTGGGGCCTACAGAGATTCCTTATGTGTAACGCATTATGCTGATGGAGTAACTCACAATGAGTTTTGGATCATGAAAGAATACGGCGTGAGGGAGTCTTGGACTAAAGTAAGGATCTCCATCCCATATTCTGTATTACGACACTCTGGTTTCTGGAAGAAAAGTCATGATCTCTTGGTGTTCAGGGACCGATTGGTTTTGTGCAATTCTAATGGTGAAAGATTTCGGAATCTTTCTATTATATATATATATATATATATATATATATATATATATATATATATATATATATATATATATATATATATATATATATATATATATATATATATATATATATATATATATATATATATATATATATATATATATATATATATATATATATATATATATATATATATATATATATATATATATATATATATATATATATATATATATATATATATATATATATATATATATATATATATATATATATATATATATATATATATATATATATATATATATATATATATATATATATATATATATATATATATATATATATATATATATATATATATATATATATATATATATATATATATATATATATATATATATATATATATATATATATATATATATATATATATATATATATATATATATATATATATATATATATATATATATATATTCAACTAGATCATGTACTTATATATATATCACTCTCTCTGTTGTAATTTCTGGTAATATGTAGGATCATTGAATTGATTTTGGGACAGAAATTATTGTAATTTCTGGTGTCCTTGTTATTCAGATTCAGCTGAATCAGCTCTTTTTAGATTGGGCTTTGCTTTTCGTGTTCATAGATCTGCATGCACATCATGTTGAATCTGTGATTATCATTGGAGAAATTTTTAATTGTTTGAAAGATTTTTATATTTTTTCCCAAATTAATCTGTTCCACAACTGCAAAAACCCCCTTTGATTTTTGTTTTCTCTGTAATTGAATAATAGCACATGCATGTTGCATATCTGTTTCTCTGTTATGGTATTGCTATGAGCTAGGATTTGGACTATATTGAAACGGTCTTTTCTCCTTTCGTCTCACTAGATTTTGTTACTTAAAAAAAAAAGGTTATGATTTGTTGAGATTTGGTCATGCAATTTTGTTTTTGAATGGGCCGGGCTGGGCTAGTTCGGCCCAAATTTAATGGGCTTTGGTCGGGTCAGGCCATGCTTTAAAGAGGAGAGAGAAAATATTGGGCCGGATTGGGCCGGGTCTTTTTAGAAAATTCAAAATCCAAGCCCATCTCATGGGCCGGGCTTGAAAAAGCCCATCGGGCCAAGCCGGGCTAAGCCCAACGGGCCGGGCCGAAATGGGCCTAAAAAATAATAAGTGTAAATTTTTTAATTTTTTTTTATAAGGATAGTATGAATAAATATGCAAATGTTTTGTGATGTGTTAAAGAAAAGTATGATTATATTTGGTGGTATGATTATGTTTGGTGATATGATATGTTGTCCGTCTTATTATATATATATAATTGTTGTATTAATAAATGACACAAATTAATGTGCTAATCATCCAATTAAAAACTAGGAATGAGTAGAATTCAATACAAACACAATTTTTCAAACAAGTAACACACACACAAAAATGAAAGAGGGGGATTTGTCATTCAAGTGATGTAATCCTAATCCTAAACCCTTATTTATACAGAATTATATATGTATGCGGGCCTAATGGGTAGGGCTTTTGTGGGCGGGCCATGCCGGGCTTTCATGGGCTTAATCGAGCCGGGCCTATGGGCCAGGCTGGGCTTCAAACACCCAAGCCCAAGCCTAGCCCAAGCCCAAGCGGGCCGGGCCCTCTCAAAGCCCATAACAGGCCGAGCGGGGCTTTTTTTCGATGGGCCGGGCAGGCCCCCATAAGCCCATGAGCCCGCGGGCCAACTGATGAGGCCTACCCAGCAGGTCATCACTTTACCCTGCTTCATATACTAATTTGTTTCCCAAGCAGACTTTTTATTATTATTTAGGTTTCTGTTAATCCATTTCTTCATTCATATTTTACTTGTTTAATTTTTTGTTTTAAATGTCTATTTTATTTTGGATATAGGGATGCAAGCCATCTCCAATGGAAATTGCAGGCACTCCAACGAATATGAGTGCATGTTCCTCTATTCAACAAAGCCCACAATCCTTAGCTTTCCCAAGTCCTTTAAATATGCAAAATTAGACAACCTGGAAAAACGTAAGGAACCCTAAAACTTGAATTGGCCTGGAAATCTGACCAAAAAAGAAGAATGGGCCCTAGAAATCTAACCAAAAAAGGAGAATGGGCCTGGAAATCTGACCAAAAAAGAAGAATGGGCATGGAAAACTTTTATAAAAAAAAACACCTTCAATTGTTGTTTTTGTTGGGCCTCGGTAGACATCCAAACCGAACCAACCCGGCCCGCCTAATTCGGGTTTCAATTTAATTTGAAAATGGACCTAACAAACAGGTGTGCGGTTTATCATTTGGGCTTGCCGACATGGGCCGATTCGGCGTACGGTTTGAGCTCATAACTGACCTGACCCACCCCGTGTGCAGCCCTACTTATATGAAGGCGGAGTAATCGTCTACTCTTTACTTTTGAGCCTATAAAGAGCAAATTGAATACTCTCTTGTGGATAAACCAAATTCAGAAAGATATTATATGACTCATGTGGGACTAAGCATTCCCACTATAGTGGCTATAGAGATTTTTATTATAAGCACATCCATGCTCTAACCTGTGTACTTGGTAATTTATAAGCACAACTGTTCTATTTTCAGTTCTGAAGATGAACTTCATCAATAGCATGGCCCAATATTTAACATGACCAGTCAATGTGGGGCAAAGGAAAATCCGAAAATACAATTTTCTTTTATGTTTAGTCCTTAAAAAGGGTTGTTGAGGTTTGGACTTCGGGGTATAAAGATTCAAGCACAGTTTTCTTTTTGCCAAAGATGCGCAGGGCAAAGGAACTTGAAGCGGATCCACTGTGGGATCAATGGAGTCACTCGATCTTATGTAAGCCAGAAAATGGCGGGGAGGTCCCTTGAACGACCCCTTGGAAGCGGATCTACTTCTCCTCGGACTTCTTTGTTCAATTTTTTCAATGCACGGGCAAAATGACGCCGTTTCGCCCAGGTACACTGAATATTTTTTAATCGACCTGGCCCAAGCCTAGCCCAACATTCGCCCTCTAAAACCACAAAATTTCTTATTCACCCTAAAGCCAACCTCCCCAACCCTGAACCAACCCCCCCC